ATACTAAATGGACAACGGCAGACACCCAAGCTGGTGATAAACAACAGGACACCTTGATTTCGAAGTCGATACGTTCCTCCCTCCATCAGGACGTGGTATATTGGACCCACGGGTCTTCCACTCGCACGGCTGCATCTCGATAGCTGGATCGATTCCAAGGACTGGGGACGTGATGGAAGATGTTTAGTATAAAATCGAATTTTGGTTCTCGTGAACCAACAAGGCGTTCCGCTTGATTTCCGCGCCGCGCACGTCTTCAACTTGCTCGCTGGCGTGCATGACGACCTGTAGCTCATGGTCACCCCCTTTTGCGAAGTTAGGTCAAAACCTCGATTTTTCCCGAAATTCTGCATGTGGGGGTAAATCAGGGTCCTGATCACGAATATGGCTTTCGTTTTTGGCGTAGGCGCCATTTGACGACAGTTTGGTGCTGCAAACTTATCCCGCCAGTTTTTATAGAAAATCCATTTGTAAGAGCTACTGGTTGTCCTGACTGTGAATATAGCGTTAGTTTTGACTCTAAAGCAATTCTGCGTCAGTTTGGGGACGATTATCATCCCCACTCGCACACAACAGTATTTGCTGTCGGGTAAACTCGAACCACAAACCCGTGCAGACTCGCGGCCACACTACACTACCCACTGACCACCGCTTCGCTGCAACGGACGATGCCGACTACGCTATATGAAGCCCTCGTACTTCCTTCAGCACTACCACTGACAGACTTCAATTTTGAGCGAATTTCACGCTGTTTTCGATACCGTCTTCATCAGTACCCTTCAATTTGCGGGTGATCTTTTCCACAAGTTCAAAGCACCACTCCAAGGCACTGAAAACCACCCATTCTTACCAACTTTTTTTCGACCTTTTTCTGACCTTCAGGGGGCCGCTCAGCGAAAATGGAACACAGTAATGTGGTCTACGTGAGAGCCCCTACGGCATGCACGCTCCCCGGAAAAACCGCTTTTGAAAAAAGAGACGTCCCACAACCTAAAGCGACCTCCCTTGTCAAGAGGGGAGCTCGCGCACTTCACCCATCGAAATACTGGTTTTCGCGCCCGAATTCAAGGGCCGCGTGGCGGCCTTACTTCACCTTCTTACTCCTAACCGCAGTAGCTGATAAGCGCGTTATCAAGCTGAATACAGCTTTTTTACACCGGACAATCTGTTACAGCAAATGCCAGCTCGCTGATGGCCTCACAACAAGTACTCCGCGCAATTCAACAGCTGCCTACTGAAGAATCTGTCCTTCTCTAGGAGCTTGCGTTGATGCGATTTGAATGCTGGCTCCTTTGGTTCCCTTTTGTTGTGTTTCTGTTGTTATTGTAGTTGTTTTTCTTTCTTTTTTCTTTTTCTTCTCTACCTATCGAGAGGATCGCAGTCTTTCATTGAAGTTCAGCGAGATTAGTGATGAACTTTTCCCTCTTCGGCCAAAACTAATCGAGAGTATAGATTGGAGTTTTCATCTGATCCTTCTTACCTCTTTTCTTTGAGCAGTCTCTCCATGCTCTGGTCTCACAAGGTTTGGAATTCCGCTCTCACCTGGCTTGCCTGGCTTGCCGGTTCCACGAGGGCTGTCGGTATACTCGTGTCTCGAAGTTCCGGCAAGCTCCTATGACCCCTTTTGTGGCGCTAAGGGCACCATTGCCGACTGGTGTGGGTGTCTGCCGGAATTCCACTCGTTGTGGCCAGGGTTCTGTCTCTGTCTCTGCTTTATTACTTCTTACCATTGACTTTTTCCCTCTACGATGGCTGTTTCCCACTATGATAGCGGTTAGATGGTACGACTTCCGATCCTCTTGTCTATTTATTTAGTATTTATTCAATGTTGATTTAGTGTTTGCATCATCTACCCCGTGTGTAAGAGCGCGTCATTGGGGCGCATAAATAAATAAATGAAATAAATGAGTGATGACTTTATAAAAACGGAAATTTCAGGAATGTTGATGTCACCTGTCTCCCTTGCGTCCTTTGTAATCATCATTGGGGAGATCGTTTCAGCGCCCATAAGCTCAACTTTTCGAAGGGACCGTTGGCGAAGTAGGCCATGTTGGCAATGATTACCCTTTATTCTCTTTTTCTTTGGAAGTCCTGTAGCATTCAGGCGAGGCAACGGAAGGATGTTCTACGGAACCGATGTGCATTCGAAACATCCGGTACTTTAGGTACAGGGTGCCTTTTATTGAAACGTTGTTACTGTAATGAAACCACAAGCAAATGTTCTTACGTGTGTCCCTGTGTAAAAGGTTGCGGAGGAGAATTGCTTTATCCTGTTCCTTGCTCCACAGCAAGCAGCGCTCCGCTCGTGTCCACGGAATTGGATACCACTATGCAGAAGATGGCGCGTAGTACGGCTGATATCGAAACTACGACTAAAGAAACTGCTGTACAAACTGCTTTACCAGCTTCCACATCCAGATCGATGCAGTCAACAGCACCGTGGATAATATCAGGCCTAACAACTTTGCTTCTTCCAAGTTCGAGGCCACTACCAACATATTCATCGCCACTAAGTGCTTCAACGGAGCCCAGAATGGCAACTGTGGCCCAGGAGAGCGCAATCTCTTCCTTCAATCCTGCGGAAGCACAAACTACTCATTCAGTCAGCTCCACTCTCCCAATCCTAACACCAAATCCTCACCACAGTAGGACGAAAATACCTGATGAATTGCCCATCACGTCACACTCAACTCAATCTCAGGAAGAACCTAGGAGAACACCGTCTGAAATCACACCGCTGCATACAGGAACAGAATATCAAACAAACTTAAGCACCACCTCACCCTCGATAGGTTACACTGATGGATCTACAGCGTCAAGAGCAACAAAGCAAGGATCTGCGAGTAAGTGGTATTCTACCATACTGAACCCCTTGTACAACGTAAGAGGATTCGATTCGTAGAAAATTCATTTAGGCAAGTGCTATGCTGAAGGTGGTTTAAGTGCAGCGAGTCACCCATACGTGGAACGTGAGCACCCCTCTGATGTATTCGCAATTTGGACACAAACCAAACAAGCTGTTACTGGTTGGCGAGAATCAGTTTTCCATATTAGCTTTCTTTTTCAAAACATTAGAGACCGCGAAACCTCCATATTTTATAGGCTTCGGCAATGATCAATTGAAGGGAGCACTACTTTCCACTAAATCTGCATGGAGGGTAGCCTGGTCACATCATTCGCCGAGGAAAAGTGGCGTTTGTTCGCTGGGCAAGGGTTTGAAAGCGGAGTTCACGAAGGCAGCCCATTATAGTCAATGTTGAGGTGTTCAGTGGTGCAGGTAAAATGAAATAACTATAAGAAACATCCCAGAACCCAAATGCGAATCGCGTGTCGATCCGCACCGTCGGCTCGCCTGTCGTAACTTACCCTTTCTTAGACCTCCAACCTTATGTAATCCTCCTTCAAAAGCTGCGGAATACCAAAGAACAACAATAAATGGGCCATAGTCAGGAAGCTCTGGATACTTCTTGAAGTTGACCACATTTGCAATGTTTAGTGATTCTAATTACTGATAGTAACCCACTCAGCTCAATGATGAGGGTTTATTACAATGGATACCAATGTAAATAATTTAGTTCAATAATTTGTAAATTTATTCGAAGGCAAAATATGACGCTCATGTCAAAAGAGCTCTCAGCTACTGAATAGAGAATCCAATTCAAGTATGACTGCTGCATCGGTGGAAAAGCAGAAACGCAATTCATTTTCTCACCGGCCTTTGTGAAAGGCTAGAAAGGTTTTTGATACTTGTGTCGACGTTCTTTATGTTTTCGAAGCGAAACTACGCGTTAGGAAATGCGGAAATCAAAACAAGGCCTCCAGTCAAATACCCCGACTACCCCTAACAAGGGAGGTCGTTCAGGGCAAGGCGGCCGTTTTGAAAACGGTTTAGGATTTCATGCGTGGACTACAGAACCGAGTCCGTTTTCGCTGAACGGCCCTGAGAAGGCCAAAAAGTGGTGAGGAAATGGTCCAAGGATCAATCCTCCCTGATGACAAAATTTTTGCATTTCAGTTGGAGCTTCCAAATTTTCTCAAAATACCACCAGGACAAAAACTAGTATCATATCTATCATGACCACCAGTAATTATTAAACTCAGATTTCAACTGGAATATGGCGGAAAAAGTTGCAACACCAGAAGGGTGCCAAATGGTGCCGAAGTGGCGTAAATGGAGCCGTCTGGAAAAACGTATGTCATACTCGTGATCAGAGCATTGGATATTCTTCAAAGTAGAAGTTTTAGAAAAAATTGAGATTTCGAGCCAGTTCCGAAAAATTGGCCATCGACAGGTCGTCGGTCACAGCCATGGGGTACTCCAGCCAGCGATTGGAAAATGAGTTTCCTCGTAATCCTCCTCCAATAATAAGAAATTCCACTACAGAATAGATAGTGGCAGGCAGCCAAGCTGGTGATGGGAAACAGCACCCGCATGAGTTGAATTCGACAAATTCTTCCTTCATCAATACTTGGTATATTGGGTCCTCGGCTCTTCCACTCGTAGGACTTCATCTCATATCTGGAGCGATTCAAGGACAGGGATGTCGTGGTAGACCTCTCTATTAAACCGAGCTTCGCATGTGATGTGTATATAATCCCGCTTATGCGGGCTGACCGCTACACACAAAGAAGGGCCTCAAAACTTACCCCAGAATGCGCCACGTACTCAATCTCATCCACTACATTGTGAGATTAGATGAATGTTATTTTCCTTCATTTCGTTTTTAAGCGCTTACTGGCTTTACGTGTTCCCTCTGCTCTCAATATCCCATCCTCTGTATATCAAGTGGAATCTTTGAACAGTTCTCAGCAGGCATAGTGGGCCTATTATGTGACATTTTCCATTTTCAGAGGAGATGTTTTGCAGAAAGCTGTGAAGATAGCGAACAATTTCCTTCACTGTCGTAGACTACGGTCACTTGTCTGTAAGGATTATATGGAAACCTTGGTCGCAGGTGAGCGTTTCTTCCGTGGTGTGACCCCAAACATCACCCCTTGTCATGCCTTTGCCCCCTATTACGTGACAAGTCCCATTTTTAGAGGAATGTTTTGTAGAAAGCTGTAAAGGAAGCGAAGAATTTCCTTCACTGTCGTAGACTATGGTCACTTGTCTGTAGGAATTATGTGGAAAACTCGGTCGCAAGTGAGCGTTCCTTCCGTGGTGTGGCCCCAAACATGCCTCCTCGTCATGCCCTTGTGGAAAGTTCAGATTTTTTGCATTTCCAGATGAACTCGCAGACCTGAAATGTGCCCCGTTAGATTCCCCGTGAAAAATGCTATCGAATGATATGCATTACTCCCCCAGTTGAAACTTTGGTTTTTCACCGTTTTCGGCCTTCTCCTATTGCCGATCGCCTTCCCCAGCCCTAGGCCACCACGTGCGATTCACGTGCGCGGTGCGTGAGAGGTCACGTGATGACCGGCCACCGGCCGTAGTTGGGCCCGATCGATACGTCGCTATGGCTGTTGCACGAGCGTGGGAACGGCGTCACGCACCGCGCACGTGAATCGCACGTGGCCGCCTAGGGCTGGGGAAGGCGATCGGCAATAGAGGAGAAGGCCGAAAACGGTGAAAAACAAAGTTTCAACTGGGAGGAGTAATGCATATCATTCGATAGCATTTTTCACGGGGAATCTAACGGGGCACATTTCAGGTCTGCGAGTTCATCTGGAAATGCAAAAAATCTGAACTTTCCACAAGGGCATGACGAGGAGGCATGTTTGGGGCCACACCACGGAAGGAACGCTCACTTGCGACCGAGTTTTCCACATAATTCCTACAGACAAGTGACCATAGTCTACGACAGTGAAGGAAATTCTTCGCTTCCTTTACAGCTTTCTACAAAACATTCCTCTAAAAATGGGACTTGTCACGTAATAGGGGGCAAAGGCATGACAAGGGGTGATGTTTGGGGTCACACCACGGAAGAAACGCTCACCTGCGACCAAGGTTTCCATATAATCCTTACAGACAAGTGACCGTAGTCTACGACAGTGAAGGAAATTGTTCATCTTCTTTCTGCAAAACATCCTCTGAAAATGGAAAATGTCACATAATAGGCCCACTATGCCTGCTGAGAACTGTTCAAAGATTCCACTTGATATACAGAGGATGGGATATTGAGAGCAGAGGGAACACGTAAAGCCAGTAAGCGCTTAAAAACGAAATGAAGATCTAAGAATTCGGAAAATAACATTCATCTAATCTCACAATGTAGTGGATGAGATTGAGTACGTGGCGCATTCTGGGGTAAGTTTTGAGGCCCTTCTCTGTGTGTAGCGGTCAGCCCGCATAAGCGGGATTATATACACATCACATGCGAGCAACTACTTTTTGAGATGAAAATCGAGTGCATGGCGCAATCCAATATAGTGCTTTAGAAAACTTTAGGATATTCTTATAGAACTCGACGAGCTGAGTTCAATGCTTTTTCAGATTTTGAAAATCTCAATTTTGAACCGAGTTATAACGAAAAAACGAAAAAAAAACGCGAAATCGCGTTTTTCGCGTGATTTTTGCAGTTTTTACGGCGAGTACCGTAGTTGTGCCTGCTAAAGATGAAAGTTTCTGCGCATCATGGAACTCACGACCACGTGTATCGAAGCGTAAACCGGTGGACCGAGAGCCTACGCGAGGAGCGTATTCGTAGGGTTCAACGTCGCATCGCGTGGAATAGCGAAATGTAACACAGACGAGAATAAAGCTCTAGGCTTATTATCACATTACAGTTACTCAAGTGCTGGCACTTTGCCTCTGGCGAACAGTAGTGTAATGGGTATTAACTTTCGAGTGCTCCCCACAGTTAACTGACGGAACGAAGGTAGCATGGTCGACCTGCCAGAGCAGTCAAGCGTCTAGTTCACGGCAGAAGTGTACATAGTTATGACTATTCACATTAACACGAAATAGGCTCTCAGGAGAACCATTGGCCTCACTTGAAAGGCCGCACATCTAGTTAGTAAAGAGTGAGCCCAGGTGATACGCGAATCCAGCGTCACGTCCCCGCGGCCGCCCCACCAACACTTAGGGCAGCGTTGGTCGGGAGTCGTTTTTTTCGGCTGCCCCGCGATGCTCTTACAGATAACATTCGTCCTCAAGCCGGACTTCAGTTCGTAAAGCATGACCACTTGAGTAGAACAAGAAACAACAAAAGTCTAGGAAAAATATTCGCCTGTCCGCGACTCCCTAATAAGAGTTGGCGCAAAGCTTGTGCGATATCGTGGTGTCATTGTTCCCACTAAAATCAAGTGAAGAGAGCTCTGAGCGTTTGAATGTTGGAGATTTCCATGTTCTTCAGAGGATTATGCTTCAAAAATTCCGTGAAAACCGTCCAACGAAGCGATTTCCGTAAATCGGCGGACTTTGGTATCTCATTAAGTATGTCTTTAGCGACTCGCAACACTTACCAGCCTTTTTTTTGCAGGTTCGGCGCAGATTGCGCTTAAAAGTTGCGAATGAATGATGAAAAAGAAGTAGCATTCAAGCCAAAAACAAGCCGGCTCCCGCGAAACAGTTGTGATCCACAAACCCCAAAACGTCCAAGCGGGGAGCGATTCTTCGACCCAAAAAAGAGCAGATAGAAACTTTCACCCAAACCAGTACCTCCCGTTGGGCGAGAGCAATCTAATAACTTCCGCCTTACGCTTTCTTTTACCGCTCCTCCATATTTCATTTAGACAAATTACTTGACCTTTCGAAATGAAGGCAATTGCAAATAAATATGATATGCAACGCGAATTCCTTCACCTCCGCTTTTTTCACTTTCAGCTTAAGTTGCAGTTTGGGGTATTCGAGTTCTCGGTCACTTAATTCCGCGTAAGCCGCTGGCTGGGAAGAGTCGTGGGCGCTCCAATACAACGGCGTCAATTCGCTACACTTCTGCAGTTGACTCTTATGCTCTAAGATGGCCATGAACTCATTTGCAATTCAAAATCATTACGAATATTTCTGTTTTGATATGTGCTTGTGTATCGAAATGGAAATATTTTTTGTGATCCTGAAAGTGAAGCCATGGAAGCTTACTATCATTTCTGCGCAAGCAGCGCCACCCATACTATAATCCAATACTGTTCAGCTACAATGAAGGCAGTTCATGTTGCGATTCTATCGGTGAACTACTAGAGCTCATGTTCTGCTACTTGTGTTCGAATTGAAGATAAGTACCCTGTAACATTTAGCAGATTGCACTAATATACCGTAAGGTTAGTGTTTTTTTTGGCAGTGTACATGATAGGTGCTGGCAGGAGGGTTCTCGAAACTCTCCAAGAGGGGGGAGGGGAGGGTTGTAAAATCTTTAAAATCGGTTCATTGTGATGGTTGAAGATGTTTCGAAGCAAGATCAAGAAAATGTGTCGATGTTCGTCCCATAGTTCTGCTCTATTCGCCATATTCACCGAGCCACGGCAACAGAATACCAGCTGCAGCGTTCTCTAACTGGATAGTACCTCTATCCCATACATGAAAATGGGCATATCGAAATCCGTCAATTCCTGGGAGGAAGATACTGTAACTCTTACCGAGAGAGGGCGGGCATTTGTGAGTGGATCCAGACGCACCTGTTTGTAATGATGTTGACTGCTAGGAATATATGAGCTTTTTCGAGTTATGAGTCATATGCGCAGTTTTCGTTGCGATTTATTATTATCTAATAATGAGTGGTGTAGAACGACCAGATTTTGCAATGTCCTTTACTGCCACGAATGCAGAATCTGATCCTTCCTGGACTTCTCGCGTTGCACGTAAGCACTCCCTATCCATTTCTTCCAACGCCTTCAGACGGTTTCAGTGATACAGAGCCTCGTCGACAGACGAGCTGAGTGCGGTCAGGTGAAAATGATGACCATTCCTTGGCGCTAGCAAAGTCAGCCAGCTGACCGGCACCAGCATTGATTGAACTTGGCTCAGAGGTGTGGAACACGCAAAGCGCCTACCACAAGTGAAACAAAATATAATTTTGCTCACAGCTTCATTGGCGGTTTGAAAGTCCTTGTCTCCTAGTTCAATCGTCACTGATCCAGCGCAGCACAAGCTCTATATCTTCGCTGCACTAAACAAATTCCGATGCAAGTTCTAAAGCAGCGTCTGCGGTGACAACACATCAACGTAGGTCACGACAGGTAAAACAAGATAGGCCTTTGTTCACAGCATCGGTGTCACAAGTTGAGAGTCCTTCTCACTTAAAGGCAAAAGTCGGGCTCAATAAGGGGGTATTATGGCGATTGAAACTGAGTATAGAGATGCGAAGTGGAACGACAGTGGAGAAAAAACTGAGAAAAACCGTCGACAAGGCCGTTAACAAAACCCTCTTTCCCACTAGCAGTGAAGGAGGCTGGCTTGGGAAAGAGGCACGTACAAACAAGTTTTCTGGAGATGTCAGTCGTTCTATCGGTTGATACGGCAATCAACCTAGCTGATTTCACACGTTATGCCAGCCACGCACCACTTCCGGAGGTGGGCGGTCGGAGCGCCGCCAGGCGGCGAAAGCGCTTAATACGTGCCCTGGGGCCTTATTACGGCGCCGTTTGGGATTCTGAGCATGGTAACGTCTCTGTGGGTGCGTAGCCATGCACAAAGACGACAAAAGGGATTGGTTTGGTCCACAAGCCTTACCCATGCCTTCAATTTAGCCTTGTTGGGTGGTCCTTTATGCAGCAATGAAGCAAGCTCCATATCTTCGTTGCGCACAACAAGTACCAATACATGTTATACAACGGCGCCCCAACACTGCTTACGTAAACTGCGCACGTGATACAGATCAGAAAGCGCACTTCTCCAACAATTTTAGCTTTTTGATCTGAAAGCTTGCGTTATTGCGAAACCATATAATTTGCCTACAGATTTGTTGTTGTGATCACATGATTACTTAAAGGCAAAAGTCGGGCTCAATAAGGGGGTATTATGGCGATTGAAACTGAGTATAGAGATGCGAAGTGGAACGACAGTGGAGAAAAAACTGAGAAAAACCGTCGACAAGGCCGTTAACAAAACCCTCTTTCCCACTAGCAGTGAAGGAGGCTGGCTTGGGAAAGAGGCACGTACAAACAAGTTTTCTGGAGATGTCAGTCGTTCTATCGGTTGATACGGCAATCAACCTAGCTGATTTCACACGTTATGCCAGCCACGCACCACATCCCGAGGTGGGCGGTCGTAGCGGGGCCAGGCGGCGATAGCGCATAGTACATGCCCTGGGGCCTTATTACTGCGCCGTTTCGATTTTGAGCGTGGGAACATCTCTACGGGTGCGTAACCAAGTACAGGCATGACCGAAAGGGTTGGTTTGGTCAACTAATCCCGACCTTTGGCCGATGTCATAGTTTGCGAATCGATCCGAGCGTTGCGCCAGCGAATCGAACGTTGCACCAGCGAATCGAACTTTGCACCAGCGAGTCGAACTATGTACCAGCGAGTCGAACTAGGTACCAGCGACTCAATAGTGGCGGGACCCAACGTTCAAAGGAAGCCCGCCACTTTCAAACAGTGTCACGTGACAGTGGACGCTGTTTGAAAGTGGCGGGACTTGACAGTGGACACTGTTTGAAAGTGGCGGGCTTCCTTTGAAACGTTGGGTCCCGCCACTATTGAGTCGCTGGTACCTAGTTCGACTCGCTGGTGCATCGTTCGATTCGCTGGCGCAACGCTCGAATCCAGCGATTCGCAAACTATGACATCGGCCTTTGATCGCAAACTATGACATCGGCCTTTGCCTTTGAAGGCAGCGATTACGATAAAGTGGGAGCGCATCGGGGAAGCATATGCACCACACGAATCAGTTACTTGGCTGCCAGGGAAGCGAGGTGTGGCGCTTCCACGAAAGGTGCGCTGGTTGCTGAGCAGGACTTCGAAAGCACTCCGCCCCCAAAAGCGATCCGCCCACTAGTTTAGTTGGTGATTTGGACGAGCTGCGTTGCCAGCAGCGGCACAACTGGAGCAACTCGATTGGAGCATGGTTTGGCATGTGTTACCAAACGCGTTGCGATGAACTCGTTCATACGCCCGCTTTCTGAGCTGTCACCTGTTCATGAGTGAAAACCAACGGCCAAAAAAGGGGGTCCCATTTTGCGTTTTTTGACGGATTTCTCCGCTTTTTCATCCGCCGAAGTACCATTGAACACCACAGCTTCCCCTCTGGACCTTTCTTGAACCCACCGTAACCGCTGCCTTTATAGGCGGATTTTAAAGATGAAAAGACATGTGAATTAGTCCTGAACGTGAGAACTGGAACTTCTCCTTTGCTGTAGATTTCCGCATTGATGTGACCGTCATCTTTGCGCCCCATTCAGTGATAACGCACTATCTGCTATCTGACCACTCACGGCGTATGCACCCGTTGCGAGTGGTTATGTAATCGGTCTTCCATGGGCATTGCGTGCTCGTTCGCATCCTTATAGGGCCCGCCTCCCTCTGCCTAGGTGAGTTTCCCCTTCTTTGACCATCGGTCACATCGTGGACTACTTCAATCGCAATACTACAATACATGTAGAGCTACACTGCACTAATCAACCACTGGAACAAATCCTACGTTGGAGTATACAGTGTCAACTCCATGCAAATAGCGACATGTGAAACAAATATACCTCTGTCTACAACTTTAGTGCTGTGATTGACATTTGAGAAACCTCGTCTGCCTAGTTTAGGCTTGTTGGTGGATCATTCTACCAGCGAAGCAGCAAGCTCTATATATTCGCAGCGAACAAAAAATGACGATGCAAGATCTACAACGGTGTCTCCAGTGCCAACACAATCCAAGAGACCAACAACAGGTGAAACAAGATTCAAAAATGACAGTCTCCATAACAGCTATAATGTTGTATCATACAAAATCGGAATACTTGCAGATGTCGGAGTTACACTGCACCCATCAAGCATTGATACAAACCCCACGTTGGGTTCTACAGTGTCAACGCAATCTGTGCAAGTTACGACAGGTGAATCAAGATACATCTCCATTTATAGCTTCGGTATCTCAATTTGAGAAACCTCGTCTCCTAGTTTAGGCTTGTTGGTGGATCATTCTACCAGCGAAGCAGCAAGCTCTATATATTCTCAGCGAACAAAAAATGACGATGCAAGATCTACAACGGTGTCTCCAGTGCCAACACAATCCAAGAGACCAACAACAGGTGAAACAAGATTCAAAAATGACAGTCTCCATAACAGCTATAATGTTGTATCATACAAAATCGGAATACTTGCAGATGTCGGAGTTACACTGCACCCATCAAGCATCGATACAAGCCCTACGTTGGGTTCTACAGTGTCAACGCAATCTGTGCAAGTTACGACAGGTGAAACAAGATACACCTCCATTTATAGCTTCGGTATCTCGATTTGAGAAACCTCGTCTCCTAGTTTAGGCTTGTTGGTGGATCATTCTATCAGCGAATCAGCAAGCTTTATATATTCGCAGCGAACAAAAAATGTCGATGCAAGATCTACAACGGTGTCTCCAGTGCCAACACAATCCAAGAGACCAACAACAGGTGAAACAAGATCCAAAAATGACAGTCTGCATAAGAGCTATGTTGTACCAGTTGGCGCAGCACGCGTTGCGCGCGCAACACAGTTCTGCGGCGATATGGGATGGTGCGGCGCAAATTCTCAACTTGGCCCGACAAACTACGAACTTTGACTTATGAGCTACAGTAGCGGTCAAAAGTTTGGAAACTTTTTTATTTTTGATCTAGCGCGGCCGACACATAACGAAATTGTCTCAAATTTAGATATTACATACAAAATCAAGTCCAGAATACGACGGGAAGAATAATTTCCAAAAATCTATAATCATATTTGAGAAATAAGATTTTTTTCAAGTAATGGCGCGTCAAAAGTTTGGAAACTTTTTGTTTCCCTCATCATTATGATTCCTACTCTTCAATGTTTACTTGTTTCTGTTAATTTTAGTTCAACCATTGAGTAATGTGTAATTTCAAAATGAATTCATATGCAAAGGAAGCAGTTTTTCCATGGGGGTCCTTTTTTAAACCCTACAATCCGGAATACGAAATTGAAATGTTTCTTAGTAGTTCAGTCTCTACGGAAGCAATATTATCGAATGTTTCTAGCGTTATTGGAGTCGAGTAAGCATAAGAAGAATGATCATTCACAAAAAAGTATCCTCACAAGAAAATTGGCCTCCTCAAATACTTCGAAGGGTGGTTGGCACGTCCCGTACCCCCGACATCCCCAACTAAGAGACGACTTTTTCTGGTTTTTTCCTAATCATATGAAAGTCCAAGTGCAGCCCAACATCGGCCGCGACCTGGTGAATATTACGGATGATGTCCCAACAAGAAGCCATTGTTGGGCTTCAAGAGCAGGATGGCCCAACTGGCTTCCGCACACTAACGGCTAACATGGACCGAAGGCGAGAGGTAAAACTTTGTCCTCAGCGACGAGTGGGATTTCTGTCTTCCTAAAATGATGTTGTGGACCCTGTGAAGTGTTCTATCAAAGGAAACCTCATTTTAGCTACCAGATTCCAACAGTCAGAAATAGTGGAAGTATTGTCATGGATGAAGATGTGTCCGACCATTCGGCGATTCCCCAGTTCTAGTATCCAGCGAAATGTGGGTTGGGCTAAGTACAAGTATAGTCTGTAGAATACAATGCTTCCTTCGATAGTCAGAACTAGCCGGAAAAGATGGGTTTTCTATCGCGGAAATGACCCAATGCAGGCCTACCTCCTCACTGCCGCCTTCCTAAACCCAGAAAAAGAAGCTGTTATGAAGCGACCAAGTCAAGATCTGAAGTCTAATTGAGTTCTACATCCCACGGAAGAGCTGGCATGTCGCTCAACCCACATTCCAGTTAAGAATCCCACCAAACAATGTGATTTAGTTCACAGTGTGTAGGGTTCGTCTTAAAAATCCTAAAATTATTTTATAATCAACTCCATGTCAATAAAAACGACGCTAACATAGAAATTCACAGCTACTCATCGAATAACTAATTTATCATGTGGATTCGAGAGCTATTTTGCCGAATTCGCTTTGGAATTGAGGAAGTTTCCAAACTTTTGACGCGCCATTTCTTATAAAAATTCGTATTTTTCAAATGCGATTCTCGTTTTCAAAAAATCATGTTGCTCATCGTAATCTACACTTGATTCTGTATATAATATGTGAATTCGGGACAATTTCATTGTCTATTGGCTACGCTAGATCAAAAATAAAAAAGTTTCCAAACTTTTGACCGCTACTGTAATACATAAAAAACGCCTACAC